CGTGGATGACGAGGGGGAGGAGGAGGAAGGGGAGGAGGAGGATGGGGAGGAGGAGCGGGGTGGGGGAGGGTTGCTGTCAGGCGTACCAGCGGCGGGCTGGCCGGCGACAACTGGGTTGATGGCGAAGACGGCCAAGGAGATCTTCGTCGAGTGCATGCAAAAGGGCGGCGTTCCGACCGGCCTTACCGCAAAGCAGAAGAACCGCGTCAACACGATCTTCGAGTGGTTCAGCAGCATGGCAACCAGGGAGGAGCTCGCGGCTCTCTCGCCCTCGGCTACCGACTTGGGGGGCGCGAGGTGTCCCCTACTTCACACCAGCAGGCCTCCCCCCTCCTCCGCCAATTTTACTAGTCGCTTTTTTGTCAGGATCATCGCTGCGAGGCTGGACGCGCTCATCAAGGCGCGATTTGCCAAGCTCTACAGCGACAACTGGGAGGCTCGCAAGGAGAAGGGGCCGAGGACGCAGAAGGTCCCGCTCTCGCTCCAGGCTGCCAAGGGACCTCTCACCTCCACCGCCCTCAGCACTGCCATCGAGAACCTCGGCAGCCACAGGACTGGGCTCTTTGAACCCGCTGTCAGTTTGGTGCAGCTCACGCTCGTGTTCTGCTCGGGCTTGATGGACTCTCAGGTGTCGTGTCTCCATGCATTGGTGGGTGTGCAAGGGCGGGAGGCGCTGCAGGCTTGGAGAGTCGGGCGAAGCGGCCCTCTCGAGGCTGTGGACGATGTGCGCCCACCGGCGCCCAAGCGCGCCCGGCCCGCCGACAGCGGCCCAGGCAGCTCGAGCGGCAGCTCGAGCGGCAGCTCCGGCGCAAGCTGCTCCAGCGCCCCCTGCTCCGGCGGCATGTTCGCCTTCTTTCGGCGGGGGAGTTAGCGCTCTCACTGCCGACAGGGTGCGCGCCGCCCATGCAGCCTGGCTCATTCCCGGCCTCCTCCCTTCCGCCTGGCGTTTTCCTCTCCTCATTCCTTGTCTTCCCTCCGCGCAGGTGCCTGCACGGTCTGCGCTGCGGCCCCTGCCTGGCCGCGCCAGCGCAAGCCCTGAGGGCTGGGAGGGCTGGCGAGAGAGGAGAGGAGAGAGAAAGGAGAGAGAGCGTGTCTAGTGTGTGTTACGTCTATTCGAGACCGCGCTGCGCGCGGTCCGCGGTGCCCCGCGCTGCGCGCGGTGCCGGTGGTACCCTCGGAACCCTCGGAACCCTCGGGATGGCGCCCGAGCGCGCTGCGCGCGCTCGCCGAACCCTCGACACCCGGCGCTGCGCGCCGGACGCGCTGCGCGCGCATGTCGAAGGTTGGGGCCCGTGACGAAGGCTGAATTTTTCCCCGTGACCGGAGGACACTCGCGGACCGAGGAGTCTCGAGCTTCGGCTGGCGAACCATCATGCCGCTCTCGGCACCGCAGCGGCGCGAGCGCCGCGCCGCGCAGCGCGCTGCCGAGGCTCAGGACGCGGCTCGCGGGCAGCGCAACCGCCCGGCGCCGAGCCGGTGCTAGGCCGCCTCCGCTGCGCCTGCTTCCTTGCGCGCCGCTGGACGTCGGCCGAGAAGACCGCTTCCCTCTGGGGACCCGACTCCGCGAAGATCGCGCGCGCGTCGTGAGTGGCGGCGCGCGCGCGATCTCCGTTCCCGGGCACGCCGGTCGCAGTGGCATGGGCTCCCAGGCTCAAAAGCGCTCCCGCCAACAGCGAGCGAGCGCCGCCGCTGCTCCTCCTCCCGCCGCCGCTCACCGAGACTCGGTGCCGCCGTTCGCCGCCGCCGCCGCCGCCGCCGCCGCCGCGGCCTCGCGCCTCGCCTCCGTCACCGCCGCCCTCCATCTCGCAGCGGCGCGTCCCTCTGATGGCGCGGGCGCCTCGCTCACCGGCGCCTCGCCGCCGCCCCCCCCCTTCTCGCGCCGCTCCGCTCGTGGCCGCCGCCTCCCCTGTCAATCCCGCCGCCTCCCCTGTCATCCCGCCGCCCGCACCACCGCCGCCACCGCCTCGCGCCTCGCCGCCGCCGCCACCGACCGCCCTCCCCTGCGCCGCTGAGCGCGGTGCAGGGGGTGAGCCCCCGCTGCGCAGCCTCACCGCAGTGCACTGCGCTCTCCGCGCCCCTGACGATTAGTGAGGAGGTGGTGTTGCACAGCATGGAGCTCGGCGAGCGTTTAGCGAGCCCCGCAGCTAGTTCTTGATACGAAACCACGACGACACACACCAGTCGACTCGCATCGGTTGCCTCCATGAACACCTTGTGACGGTGCCCTGGCAAAATCGTCGCGATTTCGATGCGCGATTTAGCTAAGTCCCAGAGCCGTTTACGCATGAGCGGGCCCCCTCACCAGCCTAGGGCTCGCGCTTCTGGCCCGAGGTGTCGCCGCTGCCTCCCGCGCCCTCCGGCGCCTGCTGCTACTGCCGGTCGGCCGGTCGGGTCCGCGCGACGGCTCCATCCTCGAGACGTAGCGGTCGCTGAGCGCTTTCTCGACCGCTACGTCTTCCAGTGCACCCACCCACCGCGACCCTCGAACCTGCGCTGCGCG